CCCCCGTCTGGCGTCCCCTTCCCCTCCCCCCCCACCCCCCCCCCACTCACCCCGTCGCGGCGGGGGGACTACCTTTTTTTTTTTTTTTTTTGTTTTTTTTTTGGGGGGGGGGGGGGGGGGGGGGGGGGTAACGTTCTATTCGACGCTGGCCCCGTACGGCCAGATGCCTTTGTGGCACGCCAGAGTCTTTGCGACTGTGCGACCGACTGCAGACAGGTTTTTGCCCGTCGCGGCACTATGTTTCGGCAAGAATCTTGTTGCAACTTTTTACTGCCCTTCTGCCCTGCCAACTATATGGCTCATACCGCAACTCTCACCCAAGGACGTATGATCCATCTGGATACTCGGCCCACGAATTTCAACATGTACAATTGTGGTCTAAACCCCCATCTGTGGGCGGGCTCCGGTTCGATTCCGACGCCGCTCTTATTTAATGATCCCCATACGAATCACTAATTTATTGCCTCTCGAGGATCTGATACTGTTGCACACCCTAGTGCGCCGCATGGCCAATATCCAGGACTTACACCCCAAGTCCTTTCTGTGAGACGGGTACGCGTCGTATCTCCAAGCCCGATGTGGTCACAGGTGTCTCTCCGGTTCGGCTCCAGCGCGCATATAGCAAGAGCTGTCGGATAGTTTTTTGTTTTGCTGGACACGACATTCGGCATGCAAACGCGGAGGCAGATACACTGGGCGCGTGATAGACGGAAGCAAATATTGTATCACGATCGTCTCCGCTCGATCGACCAATCGACGGATGCTTTTCTGTTTTTGCGCAGCTGTGGCGTCTGTACACCCCCCTTTTGCGTTCATGGCCCTCAGGCCCCCTCTCTACTACAGGGATATGGGCATGTGGTGTAGATGGTTATCACGCCCGCTTAGCATGAGTTGCATTGACTTTGGTTATCTGCGGGCGGTCCCCGGTTCAATTCCGGGTGTGTCCATAGGCTCCCCTTCGTTTTCATGTTTTGTGCATCCGTCTCAGGCATAATTTACACTGATAGTACTTATGAACATACTTTACACGGTATGCAACCACCATATGTGTATTCACAATCGCAGTTTACTTCTGTAAGACTGTATTTTTCTAGATTTGAAAGGAGCCCTCAATGTGTTGTGTGCAGCGTTGACCAGGACACCAACTCACTTCAACAAAGCAGCGGAGGGAAGGTGTATGGGCACATGGTATAGTTTATTATCACGCCCGCTTTGCTCGCAACCGCTGGGTCCGATCATGCAGGCGGCCCCCAGTTCAACTCTGTGAGTGTCCAATTACTGTATGGTTCGGGTTGTTTCACAGTTTTGCGCTGGATGCCTCCGGTTTTGGCATTTTGAGGCCTACATGAAAAGCCGCCACAGAAATAACAGGCACATGGTGTACTCCAATAAAGTTCGTCCTTGAGGGCTTAAAAGTGCTTGTGGGAGGCCCCGGTTCAAGTCCGAGTGTGTCCAAATTTTGTTTTGCTTGTGGACTGCCACACAGCCAGTGTATCCGGAATGTGCAGGTGCAGCCACTACAAAAATGTATGGCGCCACTTGATCTTTCCAGAACATTGTTAGCTGCAGGAAGCTCCGGCTCAACTACGGGTGGGTCTGATTTGCAGGAATCATGTTTTCATATTGTCTGTTGTAAGTGGATCGCGCGGGTGTCTGTTGTGGCGCACGTGTCTCCCCATATTCCTCACAGCCCGTTCACAAGAATGTGGGCACATGTGGTTATCACGCCCGCTTTGCATCTGCAAGGTATCGGGATCTCTATTGCGGGCGGCCCCCGGTTCGAGTCCGGGTGTGTCCATTTGTATTATATTTCATGTTCCAATCTAAGTTTTTGTTTTGTTTTGGTTCTGTACAGTGTACGTGTCATCTTCTCACATCGCACACCTAGCGCTCAAAATCAGCAGGGGCACAGTTATCACCCCCGCTTAGCATATGCCACTGTGTAGTATCCAATGAAGTATCCACGCGGATATGTATAGCGTCAAAGAGCCAGGTCATTCGGGAGGGCTGATGAAGCCTGTCCCAGACCTGCGGGAGGGCTGATGAAGCCTGTCCCAGACCTGGTATCATATTTTCCGCCAAGGTATCGGCTTGGCTAAATACATGTACATAGTACAAATAGAGGGAGAGGAGGGTGGGACGCGAAATAAATGATCTAAGTCGCTAGTGAACTTCCTCAAGACTCAGGTAAGTATTTCTTCCCTCCAGAAGTTAGATGTGCTTACCTGGAGAGAGACTGCTGTTGTGGTACTTCCCTAGGGGAGAGTACGCCACTCTGTCTCTCTCCAGGTTCGCTGCACGTGATTGCGACTCAGATCCCTCATTGACCTCGTGAAAACACTTTGTTTTAACTTGATCAAGCTGCGGGCAGTCCCGTGTGTCCATGAGACGCTAAGGTAGATCGATCGTTTTCCTGCTGGTGTATTAATTCTGTGGGCACCCTACACATGTGTGGGGCACATGGTGTAGTTGGTTATCACGCCCGCTTAGCATCCATCCAATGTTACAATGTTATCTGCGGGCGGTCCCCGGTTCAATTCCGGGTGTGTCCATCTGTCATCTTTTGATATGTTTTGTCTTATTACACCGGCAAACGCTATGACAATAACCGTGGCGCAGGAAAGGCAAGGAATGGGCACATGCTATAGTTAGTTATCACGCCCGCTCAGCATAATCATACAAATACCACGTTACGCTGCTGGCGGGTCCTCGGTTCAATTCCGGGTGTGTCTAATAGACTTGGACACTATAAATGTTGTCGTTCTTGTTTTCACTCATATTTGCGTAAGAGCCAACCCTGAGCGACCCGCGCCGCCGCCACAGTATGGGCATATGGTGTAGTTGGGTATCACGCCCGCTTGGCCATGGTTGGGAAAGGTTAGTGCTATGTGGCATGATTTTTCCCCTCTAGTCCTCCTCCCCTACCCCACCCTCAACGACCCCGAACAAATCCTAGGAAAGCAAACGGTGTAGCCCGCTTAGCATGCACCTTGACCAGGCGAATATCTGCGGGCGGTCTCCGGTTCAAATCCGGGTGTGTCCGGTGTTCAGGAGGCGATACAAATTTTCTTGCATCAACTACATATCTTTTGACCCATACCAGTCGCATTCTTTTTCATTCGACACAGAGGTTGATAACTGAGACTTGTCATATCCAGGGTATGCAGGAGCTCGTGTTGGTATGTGACAGAGGTAACAAAATAGCAGTAGAGATACAAGGTAGCAATCGGGTAAGCGTACGGGTACATTACATTATACGATTAATTCGACGAGAAGCGGGAAGGCAGGGGCGCGATTAAACGGTTCGGGATATCAATTAGGGAGGGTACAAGAATGGTGCGGTGGCGATAGCGAAAGCGATGGAGTTACAACGTGCATATACGCAAGTACACTGGCACCACGCGCAGCCGAACGGCAGTGACACGGGACTAGCTTCCAACGCCCAAGCCCAAACTCGCGTCCCAACACCATTATAAGTATAGCCGAGCGTGCCTAGCCTAGCCCAGGCGACCATCCATCCAAGGCGGCAGGCAGCGACAAGCGACTTTGACTTCCCCAAGTGGGCCCAAGAATCAAAACAACCTCCCTCCAAGGGGCCTCGCGAAGGGATTCACAGGCGTCGGCGTGCTCGGGGCCGGGGTGGAGGTGGACGCAAAGAGGGAGGAGGTGGGCGCGGGGAGGGAGGAAGGGGCGGAGGTGAGGAGGGCGCGGATTTCGGAAGAGGTGAGCTCGCGGCCTGATTGGAGGTAGGCGAGGCGGAGTTCCTGGGTGGGAGGTTAGTTAAGAGGGACAAGAAGGGATGTATTGGGATGTGGTGGAGAAAGGGAGGGAGGGCAGGAATGTGGGAGGAATAGGAGGGTAGGACGGAGGATGGAAGGAGTGGGGTAGAGGGATGGGGAGGAAGAGAGGGACGATGGACGGTGGAGCGGGGATTCCGACGCTAGCGATGAAGGGGAGGGTGGGTGGGGAAGGAGGAGAGGTGGACGGAAGGGCGTGGAGGTGCGATGTATGGTGGGGCATAAGAGACGATGGAGAGAGAGCGCGGCAAGAGGAGGGTAGAAAAGAGCCCGACGTAGGAAGGAGACGGGGAGGAGAACGATGGAGGGGTAGGAGTATGAAGGGGAGGTGGTGTGGTGGATGTATCGGTACGAAGGACGGCGGAAACCAATCCCAACAAACCCACTCACCTCAAGACTATGTCCCGCCCACTGCGCCTGCGCACTAATCGTCAGCATCTGGTCCCCATTCGTAGGGGGCAGTCCCGCCGCCGCATTCGCCTGCGCCTGCGCCTGTGATATCCCGCCATTACCCGATCTCGAATTCGACGAACTCGAGAGGGTCCCCTGCGCCTGTGCCGCGAGAGAGGGCCCCATCACGAAGGGGGACATGGGCGTGCCCGGGGGCGGGTCCTTGTGTCGCGCGATATAGGCATAGACTCGGAGCTCCTATATGTGCGCGCGTTTGATCAGAGAGGAAGGGAAAGGAGGCGGAGAGAACGCGAACCTCGTGGCTGAACCCCGCAAATGCTCCCATAGCCCCAATGCACTGCAACTCGTCCCCCTCCACCCTCGTCTCTCTCCACCCCTGGGTCATAGGCAGCTTCGTCGGGTCCGTTATCCTCTCCTGCGTCCCTCCCCCTACCCCTAGACCCCCTAACCCCAATGCTCCTGGTGCGGCCCCGGACAAGGAGGACTCGGCGACGGGTTTGAATGGCGGGAGGGACGTGGAGGGGAGGGGAGGATGCCCAGAGGTGCGATAGGAGGTTAGATAATCTGCTATTCGTATTTCCTGGGGGGGGGCGTCAGTTGGGTTGAATAAGAGGAATGAGGGGCAAGGACAGACCTCGAAAGATTGGCCGGGGGACTCGTACACGGCTGGGAGAGACATGAGGAGGCAGTCGACGGGTAGCTGTGGCTGGGCCTGCGTATGCGACATGTTATGTTAGGTGGTCGAGGTGTTGAAGGTTAGAGCTATTAGTTAAGACTAAGAGACGCGATCGAAAGCGGGACCGACGGGCACGTGGTATAGGGAGAAGAGGGGCGTGGGAGGAATTGGAATTGGAATAAAATTGAGCTGACTACATTACATAAGTAATTCAGGTAATTACAGAATAAGTACCTCGTCAGCACACTGAAGTGGTAGGTAGTGACAAGATGAAAGAATGTAAGCTCTGGCTATAGCAAGTAAGGTAACGAGCTGGTAAACCATACTGTGTCGGGACTGAAGAGTCACTTGTTGGAAGTACACGAACATTCTTCGGCGACAGCGGTAATACATTCATTGGAACGCACTCGCTACACACGGGCTCGTGGACTAATGACCTTGGCGTAACGAATTGTCGAAGACAACACGGAGAG